AAGGTGAGTTGGGCCCAGAACACAAAGAGCGAGTGAGAGCAGAGTTCCGCGAAAACAGCCAGAAGGTAAGTCACTAACCTCCAATGCTCTTGGTTTTGTTTTTGTCTTATATGTGTGTTTATTGTTATTAGTTTTTCTGTCATTCATATTTTTGCATTGTATGTTATTTTTCTTTAAGTGTATAAATATTTTTGAGCTTATTATGAAGCAACCTTGAGATTCTGAAATGATAGATAAATAAGACACTTTATTTGTATAGCAATATAGGTAAACATAACTTTTTTATGTGTAAATGATCATTTACAATACCAAATTATACATACAACCATGGTTAACTCTGAACACTATAATTAGTCAATTCCTTTTCTTTTAAACAGCAAAACCTTTACTGAAACATTTAGAAATTTATATACGACACTTTCAAACCAGTACTGTGATCTACATCTTCAAATATAAGAAAACTACACCACTAATACTGACTTAACATTTGCAAAGCTTCGGAGTCTTCAGCACGGCATTTAAATTAAAATATGTTCTCGTTATATCATGTATTATAATATCTTTTAACTTTTAGTTCCTATACGTAAGTTATGGGCTTTACTAAAATGTTTATGTGATCAAATATTCATAATTTGCTCTTAATTTCATGTTCCATTTCATTTGTAGTTCAGCTATTTGTGAAATATTTGAAAAGCCCAGCTTAATGCACGTCCTAATATGAATAATATAAAATATGTGGAATAATGACTGTGTAAATCTCTGCACAGTATGACATTATGAGTGATTTTGAGTCAGTCATCTGTCTTGGCACCAGCTGCAGTTCCAGCATGACCAACTGGAGTCAAAGTCAATGGCAGGCTGGAGTTCATCTTATCAAAAAGTCATAAAGCAGAGAGTAGCCTGTCATTTTAGGAGACACGCTTTTCCTAAATAGGAACTTATTGATATGCTGTATACACACAGAATGAACTTTGAACAGTGTGCCTATGATGACGTGACTGATAAACACACATTAATGTGGGATGGAGGGTTAGAGATAAACCTCAGGCCATGTTTAATTTCGACAGTAGACCCAAGGAAGCCTGCATGCTGCTGCTCTTCTTCTTTTGTTTGATTGTGTAAGGAATGTCTTCTGCAAATTCTCTCATGACAAATATATGGCTGATCTTTTCCCAACATTTTTAAGAGATGACCACCATCACACGTCAAAGTCACATGTTTCCTTCTTCCTTCCTTCCTCTTTAGATTGCAAAGACTGGATTAACATCTCCTCCTGAGTTCACAAGACCATGACTATCGGCAGGAGCTCCAGAAAGAACAAGGCCCCTCATTCTCCTCCTTTCCTGGACAAGGCTAATGGATTCTATGGGCGCTTGGATGAGATGTTTGGAGACGATGTACAGATGGAGAGAGAGACCATAGAAGAACAGATAGGAACCTTAAACAGGAGCACCCAAGACAATAGTACAGCTCCAGGCTGGATAGAAGAAGATGACCATGTGGTTGATTTTAACCAGGGTATGATGGATGACGATGGGACCACTTTACTGAAGAGAAAGCCCAGCAGACTGAGTCGCCGCTGGAGCAGGATGAGCTCCAGGAAGGGAAAGTATGACAAATTTCCCTCAGAAAAAGAACTTGGTAATGAGACCAACAAGCCCACCTCTGTAGATCTAAACCCAGAGGTGCCACCAGCAACCCAAACCCTGGAAAACAGCAAAGAACCAGAACCAACACTGATCCATTTCTCTGTGAGGGAGCATACTGATGACCAGACTCTGATATCAGGGAAGAAAGAAGGAGAACGGGAAATGGAAGACACAAGAAAAGAGAAGAAGACAGAAGGCAAACTGAATGGAGAGTCAATGGAAGTTGTAAAGAGGAACAATCTCAAGAATTATCGCAAGGTGAGATTTAGTCCTTAGGGTTGGTTGTTTAATTCATTTGGACATTTCTGTAAAGTTGCTTTGCACCGATTTGTATCGTAAAAAGCGCTATACAAATAAACTTGAATTTAATTGAATTTTGAAAAATTCTGGACCCGGAATCGAATGGAGTTCGGTTTCGTTGGCGGTTCTCCGCCGAAATATCGTACTAAAATACCCTAACTGCAATACTTAGGCTACTCGGCGTTGCCGCAACGGTTCTTTTTGGTGAATAAAACCATGCCCGCAACCCGCGTAGTCAGAACAAATTACTCTAATGAGTCAATTCCTTTTAGTGAATCAAACACGAACTGCTTACAACAGCGCAAGATTAGAGTAGTTAACGACTGGTTGTTCACATAACACCGTGTAGATAAAGATACAAATAAAACTCTTGCCAGTGGTATTTTATAAATAGACTATTAGAACAACGAAATGTGTTCCCATATTTGTGCTATTGGTGTTTAATATGGCCATATTTAATACAAAATATTGGTTAGCATTTATGCACCTTAAACAGACAGTCTACAACCCATTTTCAAATTTTGCTTGATAATAATTTTATTGTGAATAAATCCGAACATAACTGTGATACCTTCAATGTCCCATGCATCATCCCAGTATCTAATTATAATATTTAACTCCTAAGGAGTTAATACTATTTGGAAGGTCACTTGAGCAGGCAGGGCTGGTTACTCTGTAACTATCTATGGTTTCAAGGAGGAAGATATTTTAGAGAGGCATGTGGGGTAAAGTTCCTTTTTTTTTCATTGTGCAGAAATAAGCAGTCTGTTATTTCTGCTAGGGTCCATCACCCCATAACTGTTTACATTTGCTGCAATATACCATGCTTGTCTCTCCTTCTCATCTCTCCACCCTACCTAAAGAGTAATAGTTATGTACTTACTCCCACCCTCTTGTGTTATTAGTCCTTTTCTTGAACCATCTGTTTAATCACTATCAGTTTTCTGTTTGCATTTATATGGTCAGAGGACATATGCAAGTGATACAGGGACAACAACTCTTTTCAGTTGCACACAAGGTGACCTTGATTAGAGGAATGTATGTGAATAACCAAACAACCCTGTCACTTCCATTCTGTCCTCTAGTTCAGCTAATAAGGGCACATGCTTTCTCTGTCAGAGCACTGACCCTGTAAAACTGAACAAACATCTTTCTAATTAACAGTGATGTATGTTCATATGTAAAGGGTGTTGTTTTCTGTGATAAACTGGCTTTATCATTTATTTTTACTTTTCTACTTTTAGGCCGTGGACAGAGCTTTCCGTAGAGGATGGGAGACTTTTGTTGCCAATCTGTACAGTGTGACACTGACACCTATATCATCAACCTCCTCTTCATCCACACCATCAGACAAAACTGAATTGAACAGGAATCGTGTTTTAGCAGAATTCAGATAACAGTAGAACAGACTTATTTGTATTTTCAAATTGATGAGTAATTTCATTTATTAATTTAAATGTGCTCAAATATTTAATATGCATCGTTGTTCTTGCATAAAACGGATAACCATCAATCTTGTTTTAAACTGATCATTATGTAACCTGACATGAAAGGTCAATATTTGAACTTTTTATCAGTGTATAAATTTGTTATCACAGTGCTAACTAAAGAGGCGTCTACCTGATCTTTGTTCCCTTGTGAGGAAACATGAGGCCTATAATTATCCAATGTGGACAGATCTTTTTTATTTGATGTGATAATGTTTTTGAGCTGTGAACAGTAGCAGAGTTCCTGTACTTTGGCGATGAACGTGTATTACAGGTTTTGTACCAAAGGGTTAACTCTTAAAAAAAAAAACTGGGAGCTCACGGATTTTTTTTTTTTAATGTCATCAACAGGTAACATCACTGGCAGTGAAGTATATAAATAACTGAGCCGAGAGATGAAATGAAGATGGCTTTTGTTTTCTTGGGACTTATTTATCTTGTCTAACTTAGTTTGCTGAACCCAGTTTCCTAATGTTATGTAGGAGAATTTTTATTTGTAGCGCCTTTTTTTATCTGCATTGTGACATCAAAGCAGTGCTTATAATAAAAAGGAAAAGTGAGAAAAAAGTCAATCTGTTTGGCTTGATTCTGTTCTACTGAACAAAAGTGTTGTAGTGTTGTTTCCCATACGGCAAAAAATATTTTTTTGTGACGACATATACCAAAATATATAGATATATGCCAAATATAGCGACGCTCAATGAAATACATTTTTTAAATATATATATATATATATATAGTGTGTGTGTGTGTGTGTGTGTGTGTATATATATATATATATATATATATATATATATACATATACATATACACACACACACGGTATATATATACTATACAAAGAAAAGTTGTATAGTAGTATTCTATTCTTAACATAGCAAAAGAGTCATGTTAAACATTGTGGTTGATATGGTTCATCATTCATCACACACTGGAATGGAAGGTCAAGTCAGACGCATTTCATTGTGGGATACTATATCCCATACAGTGTGCTCTTATTAATACTGGACAGTTTGATAATTAGGGTGGGTCATCTAGGTAATCGATGCATACAGAAAATGAGCACATTATGCACAGTGTACATACTACATAGATGTTAAGTGAGTAGCTTTGCTGTTTCAAATCTATTGTAGGCCTACCAGTACTCTTGTATCGGTGCAGATATGGTGCCATCTAGTGGAAAATGTGAAGCTTAAAAATGGACAGTTATGATTTTCATCTGCTTTTTATGTTACAAATCAACAAGCAACAAAACGTTCTACAGCTGAATGTATGTGATACTGGTATACGTGTGTTATACGTTCAAATTGTGTTATACATTATTTTGCCTCTAAGTGTCTGCTCTCACTATGCTGCATTTATTAGTTTTGCTATATAGGATGGCTATTATGTGCACTAGAATAACATGTTTTACATACTTTTTGTGCAGTTACAGTCTATTGTTTTAAAAATATTTAATAATATTTTAATTCAGAGACCACAACGAATGTTGGCGCTTTTAATGTAATCCAGTAACCTCATTGGTTGTTTGTAAAATGGGCGTGGATTTTACGTGACAAGAATAAAACGCGCCGAGACCTTCACTTCGTCCATTTTGGAGCAGCTTCTTCTTTGGTGAGGTGTTGCGCTGTATCTATATCAACTGTAGTGTAGTTGTTCAGCTTTTTATTTCGCCTTTTTCTACAAAAGGTTCTTAAGTTATATATATATATATATATATATATGTCCCTCTTTTCTTTCTTCGTATGCATTTAAACGTTTATTTCACTCCGTAGCCCTTTAGTAGATAGCTTCTGGGTGTTTCCATTCCGTTGGCCCACGAGCCTCTGATTTGTATCTAAAACCATCCTGGGTTAATTATTGCTATTATTTGACATCTTCCCATTATTATCAAAGTTGACATGTTACTGTAGCGTAATTGAGACGTATTTGTTACTGGTTTGCTTTTTTTAAGGCGTTGGCGAGATCTCTCAATGATGATAACTTTCACAGACCTGTACTGAAATGCTGTGATTGCACTTTATTTATCTGAGGAGAGACTGGCGTGAAGAATTGTATTGTAAACCCTCCGTGTTGTGAAAGCTTCAAATGCAAACACGTGTCTCAACTGTACGGTTTTCTTTTGCAGCTGTGTCGACCACGATGAGCATGAATTGCATGGGCTCATGGGAAGGTAAGGATGCAATTTTATAGTACTTTTCCTAAAGCATGTGCCACTTGTATGTGGACCTGACATATTAGATTAGGGAACTCCGTTAACTAGAACTGTAATCTATGAAACTGCTTTTACTGCTTTGTTCATCTTTATTACATGAATATAATGCATGGGTCCTTTTATAATAAAGAACTTGAGTTTAATTGATCCAGGATCTTACTCCTATGGTGTAGTCCTGAATTATGGTCTACCACACCCAAGAAGTAACTGCAGCATTTGTGTGCTGAATGTATGAATTGACATCCAGTGCTACTGTGATGACTTCTGAATTCTCTCTTCCTGAATTGCTTTGATGTAACTGTTCTAAACTGAGTAGCATTGGACATCTAGCACACAGTGCCAAGCATTAATGTTAGTGCTTGTGTTTGTGAATGCTGACACTTATTAAAGCGTTTGTTTTGCAGTTTCTGTGCCATCTGCTGGGATGAGTAGACCAAGATCGGTTAAATTCAAGGCAAGTTCTTCAAGTGTTGAGGGTCCTCCTTTTTAAGATTGAACATTTTAAATGATGATTTCAAAAGACAAGCATATGTCTGAATTCCAGTGATGTTTGCCATTTTTTTTCTGAGATGAGGCAGATGACTGGAGTCTAGTTACCTCCCTATTGCAGTAACTAATTGTTCGGTTTTATTTTAAGGCCTCCTTCACATGAACTTTGAGAGCATGATGACCATGGGTTGTGTTTGTAAGTAGTTTTTCGAATTCAAAGTTAGGTTTCAAATCCGTATTGTCTGAAGTGATTTAAGTATTTATATCTTAACTGGACGACAGATTTGTCATATGGCATTCTAGTCACCAAAGTATGATCGGACCATATGACCGTACGGTGCTTGTTTTTGAACTGTGTTGGCTACTCCGTGTTTACAATGCCTGTTATTTTTCTAGGTCATCCCCCTTTTTTTTTGTCGTGGTAATGGAGCACCGTAATGTTCAGGTGAGGTGTGGTGTTTTTTTTTTTTTTTTTTTAAATGGTGGTTGAATGGATGGTTTATACTGTTAATATCTAGACCGTCTGATTGCCCCATGGTGTTACAGTCCCCAAAACCCTGATCAGACAGTGATAAACCTGGTTTTGTTTCTCTAGTTTTAATTCGGGCTGGACGATATGGCCCAAATTTATATCACTGTATATTTCTTAATTTCGGTCGATATATAATTCCGATATCGAAATGAACACTATCTGAAATAGAAATATTTTGTAACATTATAAATGCCTTTTATCATCACTTTTGATTCAATTTTAAGCATCTTTGCCAAATAAAAGTGTTAATTTCTGTAATTTCTTTCCCCCCAAAAATAATAAAAATTATACGGACTCCAAGCTTTTGAATAGAAGTGAAGTGATGTGACATGTGGCCAAGTATGGTGACCCATACTTGGAATTAGTGCTCTGCATTTATCCCATCCAAAGTGCGCACACACACACACACCGTGAACACACACCCGGAGCAGTGGGCAGCCATTTTTTGCTGCGGCGCCCGGGGAGCAGTTGGGGGTTCGGTGCTTTGCTCAAGGGTCCCTCAGTCGTGGTATTGAAGGTGGAAGAGAGCGCTGTACATTCACTCCCCCCACCTACAATCCCTGCCGGTACGAGACTCGAACCTGCAACCTTTGGGTTACGAGTCCGACTCTAACCATTAGGCCACGACTCCTCCTCCCCAATAGAATAGTGTATGTTACAAAAACTTTATATTTCAGATAAATGCTGATAATTTAAAATCATCAAAGAATCCTGAAAAAAAAGTTATCGACTGTTTTAAATATTGGTAATCGGCATATTAGAACGATTTCTGAAGGATCATGTGACACTGAAGACTGGAGTAATGATGCTGAAAATTTAGCTTTGATCACCGCAATAAATTACATTTTAAAACCTATTCAAGTAGAAAGCAGTTATTTTAAAAAGTGAAAATATTTCAACATTTTACTGTTTTTGCTGTACTTTGGATCAAATAAATGCAGCCTTGGTGAGCAGAAGAGAATTAAAAAAAAAAAAATAGAAATAAAATAAAATATATATGTATATGTAAGTCTTGCTGTTCAAGAACTTTTGACTAGTAGTGTAGGCTGATTATTATAGATTGAAACAAATGTGCTTCAGCCAGAAAAAAGGGTATGAAAAGTGATCCTCTCTGCCAGCAGGAGGCGCTTTTAGAGTGATAAAACTAGCGGTTTCCCAGGCAATGGCTGTAATCAAAGCAGTTACTGTTTACTGTTTTTGCTGTACTTTGGATCAAATAAATGCAGCCTTGGTGAGCAGAAGAGAATTAAAAAAAAAAAAATAGAAATAAAATAAAATATATATGTATATGTAAGTCTTGCTGTTCAAGAACTTTTGACTAGTAGTGTAGGCTGATTATTATAGATTGAAACAAATGTGCTTCAGCCAGAAAAAAGGGTAGAAAAAATGGTATGAAAAGTGATCCTCTCTGCCAGCAGGAGGCGCTTTTAGAGTGATAAAACTAGCGGTTTCCCAGGCAATGGCTGTAATCAAAGCAGCTCCGCTCATGAGCTACTTCATCAGATAAAAATGAAAATGTCATCGAAACTTTTCTGAAGACGGTCGGTTCCCTTCAGAGACACATTCACATAAAACACCCGCGCCGCGTTTTGATTTTGAAACGTGCAGTGCTCATGTTTATTCAAAGTCAAACGCCACTAATAAATCAATGTATGGGAAACACTGGTAATGTATATCGGAAATTTTAAAAAATCATCAGTTATTGAAGAAATTAGATCATATATTGATATTGAATTATTGTCCAGCCCTAGTTTTAATATTAAAGCTCTTTTGTCTCTTAGGTAGTGTCGGCACAATGAGCTCTCACCAAAGACCTGGAACTCCCAAGGTACTTCTGTTTATTTTAAATTCAGTGTTTTTTTTCTCCGTCTCCGTGATGAAGATACTTAGCTCACTTTGACCCTATGTGAAAAGTAACGAACATCTGAGAGATTTATTGGCCGCTTATCATTCTGATTTTCCATATGACCGTGTCAGACATCATTCCTCTTTTCTCGACAGGGCTGTTATTTGTCCAAGACTGAGTGGCTAAAGTCCTTTGGTGGTATTAGGTAAGGTTATTTGTTCCCATGTGCTGCTACTTAATACTTAGTCCCTCTGTGATGCATGATTATTTTTTTGGAATCTCGTTCGTCTGAAATTCTGTTGATAAGTCTTTATAAATGATGTTACAGTACATGTTTCACCTACATTTTGCATGCTTTTTGTATCTGAAGTGATGCCCAGATTTTTCTCTCCTAAAAGGTTGCACGCATGTAGTACTCAAACGGGTAAGAATATGCACTTACCATGTCATTCCATTTGAAATAGTCCCTTTTTAGTTAACTTGTACCTCAGTGCTCAATTCCATCTGTAACCTATGATGATTTTTGCAGTCTCGTTCGTCTGAAGTCCTGCTGATAAATTAACGTTTACTGATGTTACAGATTTGGCATTTGTATCTCTGCATTTTTGTTGCTCTCCCTTAAGATTTTTTTTCTTAACCTATAGGTGGCGCACCTGATGTGGTGAATTCACAGGTGAGAATTCTGTTCCTAATAAACAAAATGACAAACTTTATTGCAGCTGGTCCTTTTATGATGTAACTTGCACACGTCTTACTCCCTGTGCCAATACCAGAACCTGAAATGGTGAACCCACTGGTGTTGCCTGGGCAATAAGGGGATGACTTGTTGGGGTTACTAACAGTCTGAGAAGAACTAGCTTTAGCGTAGATAAGTTTTCCTTTTCATATATCGGTCTCCTAACTTAAAAAAAAAAAAAAAAATTCTCTAATTTGATTCCTTGCAGGACTACAGTGAATTCTTTCAAGTTCTGCTCCCTTGAACATACTGAAGCTGGTATGTGTTTTGTATTTTCAACTTGAGTTACATGTGAACTAGTTGGTGTGATGACGGAGTTGCCGCCCCAGTCTGATTTATCTGACTGAATGGTACCCTCTGATCTCAGTAAATGGTTTCATTTAAAATTTGTACTTGTGAAACTTTCATTTTAGACTTTTTTTCTTTCCCCTCAGGTAGTTAGTTCCATGACTGACCATAAAGGTTTGTATTTTCATATTGGCTTATGTTGATTTATTAGTTGTATTACTTTTTAAATGATGACTTATATCGCCCCAGTCTGATGTGTTATGACTGATTGATAATTCTGATTAAATGTAGACCATTTAAAGGTACTGGTTCAAGAGACTTTTTTTAGTGACTTTCTTTATTCCCCCTCCAGGTCACTTAAATTGCATCTGAGAAGTTGAACTGGCTGAAACCTGATGTTCATCCCTGTACTATAGATCTGCTGAACTGAAGTGTTGACTGGCGTTAGTAACTGAGTGTTTTTCTTTTTACTTTTTATTCCTAAGATTGCAAAATAAATGGCTCTTCTGAATTTGCCGTTTCAAATACAGTTGCGTCCCCGAGTCATCACCTTTTGCATTCATGTTTGTATCAGGGATTTTCAGTGATCTAAATGGAAATGTGACCCTTTTAAATGCAATTCTGCTTGGTCAAGCTTTATGAGTCATGAACAAAGTTAATTGATTTATAAAACTTGATGGTGTTGGTATGTAAAGCTTAACACTCACAGCACTAGAAGTAGTGTTCAGTGTTAGGTCAAGATAATTTGTTAATGTTCACTTAAAAGGCTTGTCACAACATCAAAAATGGTTAGTGTCTGATTCGTCATGAAAATGCATAGCATTAATCTCATTTTGTTAATTGGGCATTCATTTCTCAATAGAAACGAACTTGTTTCTCCGAGCTAAGATTTGAACGAAGACAATTACTTGAATAAACCGAGCTAAGGTCTAAAAAGCAACAAGGTTATTTGCTACCCTTTAAAGGGCATTTTAATAGTGTTCCGATGGGGGGGGCAGATTCATGAATATAAATAAAACGGGACTAGATGAGAAGCAGCCACCCTCTGGATCTTCAAAGAGGAAGGTTGGAGACTGACCTGTAATTACTTTAAACTGCAAGAAAAAGCAGCAGTTGGTAATAGAAAAAGAGACCAGATTTGTTGAGGCAGTGTATTCTTGGCAGACATGATCTCTTAATGCAGCTGAACACTCGGAGCTAGTTACAAGTGGTGTTGAACAGTATTCAAGGAAAACAAAAATAGCTTCCATTTCCAACCTAAAGCAAATGGCTTTCTTTTGTGGGCTTTCAAAAACACACTACCTGTTGGAAGTACAGCTACTTGGACATCCATCTTAAACATATTTGAAAAACATTTGCATTGCATACATTCAGTCCAACAATTTTATTTTTTATTGTCCATCTCCAAAATGTTAAAACATTCAGTCCATTAGTCAGCTGTAAAGATCCGAGCTGCTATATCAAGTAGCCAGTCCACACCTGTTAGCAGGTTCTCACCTGTAACGGCACTGCATCCCACAATGCACCAGTGATGGGTCTTAATGTCATCAAGGGTTAAAACCTGGACAACGTTCAGAAAACGAGCATATTCACAAATTCATCCAACAGCAAGGCAGTTCCATTAAAATACAAATGGCTCCGTTTAACAAAACTCGCCTCTCGAATGGCATCTTTTGATAAAGCACCAGGTAGGTCCTGTTTATTGGCAAAAACTAACAGAGTGGCTCCCGCTAATCGCTATTCAAGAGAAATGCATTAATTGTAAAGTGTAATGTATATAAAGCCCACACATTACATTTTATTGATTCAAAACTATGGCTTTTTATGTTCACTAAAACAAGATGCTAAATAAAGTAATGTCAAAATCTGACCATTTAATTTCAAACTATAGGTCCAAGATATTGGTCATCTCACCTCCTCTAGTAATAAAGCACTCAGCTCTTCCCTGCAGTCCTCCAGTCTCAATCTGTCAGCGCTGTCCACTACCCACACCAGTCCATCTGTACTCTCGAAATAATTCCTCCAGTATGATCTCAATGACTTTTGGCCACCCACATCCCAGATATTCAGCTTAAACCTAGTCTCAGTGTGAAGAAAAAGAAAAAAAAATATTGCACTTGGTTATGTATCACAGTAACATTGGTCAACAAACAGTTTGTATATCTGTACATTCTCTCTGTGTGTGTGTGTGTGTGTGTGTGTGTGTATATATATATATATAGCCTTTTTGCCAATTAGTTTCATTAAAAGTTAGCGTCTAATCATGCTCTCAACCTCTTACTTATGCAAAACATATATAACACAACCAGACTTCTGCCGTACCCTCTATGCTCGAGTGTCTTTATGTTGAAGCCTAATGTTGGAGAGATCGTGCTGACATCTTCGCCGTTAAACTTCTTCAGGATGGTTGTTTTTCCAGCATTGTCAAGACCACTAAAAAGAAAGGTTAAGGACCCACAACAGTCTTTAGCATCACGAGAAATGAGAACATTACACTAAACGTGCCTTATTTGAGTAATTTGACACCCGTGAATAGAGTAAGAATGTACTTTATTAAACATAAAAACAACAGCGGTTTAAAAAGAATATTGTTTTCAAATGTATTTATATGAATACATTTGAATGCAGTTCTGTGAAAGGATACAGCATCAGTAGACGCATTTCGCGCTCCTTGTGCTTCATCTTCTTCAAGATCGTCAGTAAACCAATCGCGAACGTTTAAGTATAAAACACTGAATTGATCTTGACCCGAAATAACACATTAACTATTGAAACACAAAATAATTTCCTAAATAACAGCGACATGCGTTTAGTGAAAAGCCACACTGGAAACAAGGAAGCGTTACTATGAGTTGACACAACACGTTGAAGTATGATTGGTTAGAGAGTGCGTAAAGATGGAGCTGAAGGTATATGATTGGCTGTTCTACCTGTCATTCTTACTTGGGCTTTTTCTATTGGTGAATGAAAACCGCGGCAAGGGCGTGTCTGAACGTTGTCGTAAAATCATTAGTTTCTACAGCAGCGCCTCCTTATGTGCATTTTCTAAACATGTGAGCTGAAGTGAACGCCCCCAAAACGATTTCGTGTAAAGTAGGTACGTCTCAATTACGTTTATCTGACTGGTTGTTTTGATCGGTTGGTCATCCATGCTAGTTTTACCCTACTGTTATTTGGGTAGGACGGGAGAAGGTGCCCCCTTAAGAACAATGTGGATTTACTTTTAAATTGTAACATATTTAGATATAAGTTTCGCATATGCAGGAAGATGATGTATCAGCCAATGTGTTATTATGGGAACTAAACTCAAACAGTTGCTAACTTAATTGTTATAGCACAAAATGTCAAATATTAAAAGAGGGGTAAGATGGCCTGCTACTTTGACCCCTAATAAACTTTTACAGAACGTATAGATGAATTTTGTTAATTCTTATTAATATTTATATTTTTAAGTGTCATTCATTAAAGAAAAACAACTATTCTATTTAAAATTTTATTTTGACAAGTTGAATAATTGAATAACTGATGACAAAGTAGAATCACAGTAAAAGACAAAAAAAAGTATGATTTATATGCAAGCATATGAATATTTACATATTTAATTGCCCATATTTTAATTGAAAACATAATTGAAACACTATAAATGCAAATGTAATGATTTTACTCAGTTCTAGTAAAGGTTTTAATGAAAGCAAAGATGTCTGAATTGCACATATGTATCTGAAATAGATCTAATTTATGGAAATTTCTTTGATATTCAACATCATACGATTTTATAGATCACTACAGAGACACACAATTAGACCAACTATCCAAAAAACTATTTCGAAACGTCGAAATTCGTCAAAACGTTTCGAATTATTCAAAAGTGCTGAGATGAGATTTTGTGCCATCTATGGTCAAGGAAAAAAAGGGTGGAGCAGGTCATCTTGCTTGTTGTACTCAATCACTATTTAACATTTAACATTAGCTGCCAAATATTATAGTCTCTTAATTAAGGGTGGAGTTTTACATTAAAGATAAAATAAAAATAATAATTACAAACAAGCAACCATAATAACATTAATACAGAGAACCTTTGTATTAGTGGGGTTTATGGTCAATTACAAGTGTAAGAAAAAACAATGAGAATATTGAAGATCTCAGTGAAGATGTTTATTGCAGCATTGTAAAGTATGGCACTAATAATAATAATAATAATAATACATTTGTAATGGTACAATCATCATTTTATTGTTTATATCTCGTTATAAACAATAAATACTGTATCAAAACAAATAAAAAATACTGTGATCTAAAACGGAGAGGCAGTTTTAACATTAAGTGACGACATCTGACGCACAGATGCCATTGGCACATGCCGCTATGCTCAGTGGCACTTCCGGTGGCACTTCCGGTTTTCAGTGGCGTGTGTCAGTGGACAGTGGCATGTGTCACTAAAACACATTTGGTGTAAGTTTCATAAAGCACGTTAGAATAGCAGACATCATAATGGTTTGTGGCATTTTCTCATCAGTTGATATTTATATGTAGGCTAATTCCTGATTGGCAAGTATCAGTTATGGTGGCACATTTGATTAAAACGTTTCTTTTTTCTTTCTTTTTTTTTTTTTTTTATGGCCTCTGCATAGTCTCTATATTATTTTATAATTACAAATGATACAGCTGAACTGTCAAATCTATGCAAAAATGAAAAAAACGCGTATTTACGTATTTGAATGCATTGCACAAAGCTGGAACTGGAAATAAACTTACAATGAAAAATACACATTAAGGGGCATAAGACACATTTTAATCTTAATATAGGAACTCCACGATGTAATAAATCGTATGTTTGACAGCAACATACTGTTAATTATTTCAATATCGTTCCGCCATGAAGTGCGTGTGTCACGCAAGCTACATTATGCAGCGACACCCAGCGGCAGGTGTCAGTCACTACCGAAGGTGCGACACGCACCACGGCAACTGACACAAGACGCAGTCCATTGACATGTGTCACAGGTTTTAGTGACACATGCCACTGTCCACTGACACATGCCACTGAAAACTGGAAGTGCCACCGGAAGTGCCACTGAGCATAGCGCCATGTGCCAATGGCATCTGTGCGTCAGATGTCATGTCACTTAATGTTAAAACTGCTGCTGGAGAAACGTGTAATTGAATTGACTGTTTGTCAGTGTCCTTTGGCTTTCATCGAAAGAAAAGTGTAGTATCTACATTAACTGTAGGACAGCCCCCCTGAAAGAAACCTTACGGTAAATTCCTTGTTTGTTTCATTTGTCTCAGTTTTCTGTTTTCCCGTCCTTGAAATTGCAGCCCTTATGTTTGCAGCAGATTCTTATGCATCAGCTGTCACCATGTGCCTGTAAATGAAAGACACGATTGCAAACATTTCTCCCAGCAGAACCTTGTAACTGCTAAATTATACTCGTAAATATTTTTTAAATGCTGGATTCATTTAATTTGTTAGATTAATTTGAGTAATAATGAAATACTGTAATAGCCTTACATAGTTAAGCCTTCAGATCCCTCACAGCTACACCCGTTTGGACTTCCTGCTTGGAATTCCCAGTATCTGTCAGTGTAGAGCGGGAAATGAACAACCTAAATACTGGCAGTACAGTGCCGGAAGCGATGATCTCCTTGCTCCGCTAACCGGGCCATTTAACATAATTCGAAACCGAAAACAGTCTAGTCCACCCCCTCTGTTGCGTCAGTCCATTCACAGAGCTATTGGCTCATTCCGCCGCCCACGGCCAACACCACAAAGACCTCAGACCAGTTTAAATCATGACCAGGCACTGTAGCTCTTCAGACAACTTCTGCTTCAGGAGTCTTTCAACGCGCTTGCTTTTAAATTCGAAGAAGCCATTTCGAATTCAATTCGAATTTTGTGCAGTACTGAAATGCTACTAAAGACCGTTGATTTATTCTGAAAGTATACATGCAAGCATTTTGTTCTGATATAACTGTCGAAAAGCATCCGTGCACTTGGAGATGCCAGCTGCTGTCATGGACAACTTTGACCAGGGAAGTCCTTTCTCTCAAAGTGATTCTCAAAGTCCTCTTGATTGTGTAAGGAGTGAATTAATTCATTTAATGTGATTTTACTATGTATAAATATAACGCTGTTATTACAAGCAATAAAATACTTTATTACATATTTTGTTATATGTAGCTATAATATTTATTATTTGTGTGTGTATATATATATATATATATATATATATAATTATTTGTTTATATATAAATAAATCCATATTTATATTATATATTGTAAATCATATATATGATCTGATAAATATCTTTAGAGCACACAGTCAGAGGACCACAGGCACCATCACAGAGAGAAAAACAGAGATGCAGCTCGCAAGAATCGCAGAAAACAGACAGAAAAGGCAGACGTGCTGCATGAGGTCAGTAGCAAATTGAAACCTTTGACACTCTCTCTTTTTCCCCTTTGAATGGGTTTGTTTTGCTCTGTCCCTATTTACGTTACCTCTTCATATCCTTACTTTTGTTGTATCTTCTCATTCACATTACTGCACACAACTATATTTATACCTTTTGTACTTTATTATTGTTATTGTCAGCTACATAGCCTATATTCTTACTTGGAATTATGAAGTAATGTGCCATAATCATAACCTTCAGGAGAATGTGTTCGTTTCTCTGGAGGATATTTTTTTGTGTGTGTGTTTGTTAATGATTAGTTTGTAGTCTCTGTGTGTGTAGAGGAGCATTAGTATTGCACAACCTTTCAGTGCAGAGGAGGTATTTCTTGGAAACGCAGAGCATGACTGGGACAGCTTACAGATTAGTTACACTAGCGGCTGACTAGTTATTTTAGTTTAACATCTGACATGTCATACATTCACTTTCATTTTCACTTCAGATGATGTACAAATCTTGGACTTTCCCTTTTTTTATCCAACCCAATAATCTCAGATCCCTTCTAAGACTAACAAAATATGAGGAAGTCTGAATTGTTTTTTTTTTTTTTTTTAAATAAAGTGTGTAATGACCTATGAACTTTATATGTGGGAAAAGCAGCTCAGGTCAAATCTATTTTAAATTACTTTTTATTTGACACTACTTGCATTACTGCCGCATTCCTTTCACTTTGTTACTTCTGCTTTTCTGCTGAATTCATGTCAATATTGTATTGTCTATAAACTAATTTATATATTTATTTATTTTTTGCCTAGGAACTCCAAACCCTAGAGCAGTCTAATACCGCATTCATAAAAGAAATCGCTGAACTAAAGAAGGAGCTTCAATTCTACACCACAGCCTTGGAACAACATATACCTCACTGCACTAAACTGTGTCCATTTGAACCATCAGTTAGTGTTACAGGAGGACCGTCCACAGCTACACCCTCTACCTCAGATATCACCTTCAACTCTGACCCCAACCTCTTGCCGGAACTTGCATTCTTACCAGACACTAATTCAGGGGACTTATCTCTAACAGACCTCCTCGACAGTAGTGATTGGTGTCCATGGGACTCAGTGAATGGAAATGGGTGTCTACAGCAGTTTTGAGGTGCTGTACAGTCAGTTATTTGGTCACAAGGCTTACACACTACTACTACATCCTGCAAACAGCCCTTTTTGTTGAGTTCAAATGCTAATGGTGCTAAAAACCATGATCCATTAAAGTGTGGATATGTTGTTTTGTATAATTTATTTAAACAATACTTACAGATGGCATTTACATGTAGCTATATTTTAGATACGGGCATTATATTTTTTTATATGTAAGACCACAGCCTATGTTGGGCTTATTGATTCCATACTTTAATCCATTTTGATTTGTAATATGAAAATGTTCAGTTATTTC